TGTGCAGGAGGCAGCTGATTGATGTTTCTAACTCTCTATCCCTCTCCCTTCTCTGTAAAAAAAAAAAAAAAAAAATCAATAAAATGTATTTTAAAAATAAAAATAAAAAGAGAAAGACGTTGAAATTCCCAACTATAATTGTAGGATTATTTCTCTTTTCAGTTTTGTCAGTTTTTGCCTAATATATTTTGATAGTCTGTTAAAAGGTACCTCCACATTTGGAATTGTTTTGTTTTCCTGAGAATTAGCCCTTTATCATTATGAAATGTCTTTATTCATCTCTAGGAATTCCCTATCCTGAAGTCTATTTTATCTGATATTAATGTAGTCACTCTGTCTTTTTTGTGATTATTTTAAAGTAGTTTATATTTTTCATTTATTTAATGTACTTTTGGGTTTAGGTGTTTAATATTACTTATACACAGCATGTACTGGAGTCTTGATTTTTAATCCAGTCTAACACTCTCTGCTTTTTATTTGTGTGTTTGGTACATTTATAGTTTATGTAGTTATCAGTATGGATGGGTTTAAGTCTGCCCTCAGCATGTTTCTCCCACCTATTTTTTTATTCTTCTTTTCCTACCTTCTTTGGATTGAGCATTTTTAAAGTATATATAATGCAACCACCTTACAATAGTATACTTCTTTTATCTGTCCCATACTTTATGCTTTTGTCAGGTATTTTACTTTTACATATGTCATCTTTTTGCTCTAAACAACTAGTTATTTTTTTAAAGAGATTTTAAAATGAGGAAGGGTCTTCTATATTTTTAGTGCTCTTCACTCCTTTGTGTACATTATAATTTCCATCCAGTATCACTTTTCTTCTAAGAATTTCTTTTAACATATATTATACTACAGATCTACTGGAAAAAATTCTTTTGCTTTTTTTTTTTTTGGTCTGAAAATGTTTTTATTTCATTTTTATTTTTGAAATATATTTTCCATGGATTCTAAATTGGCAGATGTTTTATTTTTTCTTTTAAAAATTTTAGAGAAATTTTCCCATTGTATTTTGGTTTGAATTATGTCTGATAAGTCTTATCTATATTTTCCTATAGATAGTGTGTTATTTTTATCCTCTCTGATTGCTTTAAAGTTTTCTTGTTATTACTGAGTTCTAGCAATTTAATATGATACGATCATGATTTTCAGCAATTTGTTATGTTTTATTTTTTTTCTCTTGATCCTAACTAATTGGTTGAGTTATTTTAGATCACTGAGCTGATGAATTGGAGTTTTCATCAAATCTTGAAAACAGTTGACTATTTCTTCAAGTGTGTGTGTGTGTGTGTGTGTACATATATATATACATATATACATATATATATATGTATATATATATATTTTTTTTTTTGCATATAACTCTCCCACACAAGCACACACTTTTTCTCTCTAGGATTTCAATCACATGTATATTAGACTGTTTGGTGTTATTTAACAGGTTATAGAGGTTAATTTCTTTCATAGCCTTCACTCTCTGTTTGAATATTTTCCATTTCCCTGTCTTCAAGTTCTTTATATTTTCTTCTGCAGTTGATGATCTGTCTAATGAATTTTTCTATTCGAATATTATACTTTTAGCTCTAGACATTCCACTTTGTTCTTTTTTATATACTAGAAGCCGATGCACAAAATTCGTGCAAGGGCTCAGTACTCTCAGTCTCGCAGCCCCTGCTTCATCTGGAAGGTCGTCTGATGGGCGTTCTGCTGTTCGGTCTAATTAGTATATTAGCTTTATTGTATAGGATTCCGTTTCTTCCTCATCTTAGCAAGACCTCCATGCTGTGCATGGGCTCCTCCTCTTTGGACTGTAGATTTTACTGTCAGGGTGCGTCTACACGTCAAGAGCCAGAGTCCTCATATATTATCCTCATTTGTATCCCTTCTCTTAGCAGTCAGTAGTCCTGGGGTGCAGTGTCTAAAAAGAAGTGTTCCATATACTTTTGTCCAGTTTTCTAGTTGTTTGCTTTAGGAAAAGTCTTTACCAGTTACTTCATGAGCTGAGGTGGAAAACCCTCAGCCACAGCCCAGGATCTGTAGTCAATACATACAAATAAATAAATAAAAATTAAAAAAAAATACATACGAATACCTACATGCTCCCATAAAAACTGTAACACTGTGCTATTTTTATGGTGGTTCTGTCTAGGTAGTCTTTTCTTCTTATACCATAGCTGTTTGTTTGTTCCCATGTTTCTCCATTTTGTATGGTTAAAATGTGATTCCTTCATATTTTATACATAGTAATAGGACTTGTAGGTTTTAGAAAATACACTTAAAAGGTAGTTTGAATATGTATTTCTTTTTAAATGCTTCTAATAAAAAAGATGTTTTTGTTTTTGTTTTTTTATGTAACTAATATTTCAGTCAAGTCAGTTATATTTAAGAACTGAAATGTCAGGTATAGGCTAAATGGACTCTTGAGAATGAACAAAAGACAAGAAGCTAATTTATTTGTATTCGTTTTGTCTGGGAACCACCACATCTGGCTCTAAGGCTGAGTAATCATGACTTACTAGTGTGGTTATGGAAAGTATATATATCAGTTTAGTTGTGTGAATGAACTGTCCTTTCTTTAAGGGAAAAAAATTCTCATCAGATGGCTGAAAATTTCCCTTTTTAGACACAAAAAATCTCATTATTTTATCTCCTAGAAAAGTTTAATTTTTTCTAGAACTCAGAGGTACACTGTTCCTGCAATCCAAAGGAGATATCATGGACAAACTTGAATTTTTTCTCTTTCACAATATAACATTTCTCTTTGTGTTTTCAAACAATAAAGGTGAAAGTTACAATTTTTTCTTAAATTATATCTAATGCTTAGCTATAAGTGTACAGTGAGCATTTTTTTTTTTTTACTGATTATTCAGTGATTCTGAATTCCCCTAACTCTAAACATGGTATATTATTTTTTAGGATTATAAAATAGTCTTTTTCTTCCCCATTTGTGAAATCTCTTTTGTACATAGTATTCAAAGGAGCAGTTGTAGATTTCATGGCTAATAACACTTGTTAAGACCTGAATACTCAAAAGCATTCTTTTAAAAAACATACTATAATTACTTTTAAAACTTAGATATTACTATTTATGGATTTCTAGAAATTAAAACGCAAGAAAATGAGGAACCAACTAAAGAATTCTTCACATAGGCTCAGAAAAACCTAATAACTAATTGATTCAGTGCTAAGAGTAGAACTTCATTTCTTAGATTTTATTTAAACAAAAATACCCATTTTGTTAGTGAGGAATGTAGCTTAGATTTATGAATATCTTTTTTCACATTTATATGCAACAAAAATTTTTGTTTTATATAACCTTTTATCTTGATAGCAGTAGAAATTCTTTAGTGTCTTATTTTTTCACTAGGTCTTATACAGTCTTTGAACCACAAATTCTTTCGCTATGTGATTTAAAAAGACACTTATATACAGAGACCCCTTATTGTATGTATACTTATATATAATAAAATTCTACAAATACTTCATCATTTTTCTTCATAACACCCAATGGCTGGTACTTTCTGAGGGTTTACTATATCATCCCTATATCATTCTAGGGTGAACACTTTATATGAATTGACTAATTTCAATCTTACATCCCAGAATGTAGTTTCTGGCGTATTTTATTATTCCCATTTTGTAGATGAGGAAAGCAAGATTCAGAAGATAAGTGGCAGAGGCCAGAGCCTAAACCAGAACATCTGGGTCTGAAGTTATTCGTATGCTTTAAAGTGAATGCTTTTACCATGGGTGTTAGAGCAACATGTTAAGAATGTGCAACTTTTAGGTCTTATACTTCATGAGAACTTTGGAAATTAGCATTGGATTTTATTGGCATATTTGAATTTTTTGGAGCTGGATAAAACCACAAATGAGTCTAATTGTCTTGCCTTGCAGAAGAGTAAACTGAAGCCCAGGCAGTTGAGTGAAATAGTCCAAAGTCCTTATTTTCTGAGCCTTAATTTATTATTTTCCCAAAGATTCCTAAACCTAGCTTATTAGAACATATCCTGTTTAAAACTCTACAGTAACTCCTTTATTCGCATATAGGTTCCCACTCCTGCTTATTGTTTTGTCTTTGTTTGGGGTGTTGTTGTTTTTTTAATTGATTTTAGAGAGGAAGGGAGAGGGAGAGAGAAATGGAAACATCAATGATGAGAGAGAATCATTGATTGATTGCCTCCTGCATGCCCCCTATTGGGGATCAAGCACCCAACCCAAGCAAACTAGCATGCCCTGACCAGGAATCGACTCATGATCTCCTGGTTCATTGGCTTACATTCAACCACTGAGCTATACTGGCCAAACAGGAAGTTACATTTTTAACAAACTCCCTATTTGGTTCTTATGCAGAAACCTCACCTCGGCGTACATGTGTGTTTGTTTAAGGCTTTATTGTATTATTAACCCATTTTAACCTGTATGATTAAAATATAAGTGAAGTAGTTACTTCACCAACTGTTTATAAGGACATAAAGTGATATTCTCAAGTTATGTATGAAAAAATAGCAGCGCAGGAAGTTTTTATCAAAGGGAATGTAAACTACAAATGACAATATGGATAAACAAAATCAGAACCAAGCCAGGAATGATATAGCTTCCAGGGGCTAGTGATGGGAGAGGGAGATTGACTATAACAGGGCACAAAGGAACTTTTTGCAATGATGGAAATGTTTTATATCTTGATTCATTATTGTACAGCTAAATATATTTGTCAAAACTCATGTAATATAGAACCAGAAAAGTGACTTACTATATGTACATTATCAATAAATCTGATTTCTCTTTTTAAACCAAGCCAGGAGGAAATTTTGGGAAGGATTTTTTCAAATTACCGTCTGTAACATTAAATATTTAGTTAAATAGATTCTTGTTCTTTAAAGGCTAAGGTTTTTCTATTAATATATAGTAATTAAAGTACTGTTAAAAGAGCATATATATTAATGATTCCCTTTTCATTAATATTTCCAACTTGTTTTCTTGTATTTGTTTTACAGGGTCCACATATAGCTTCAGTTACATTAGCTGCTTACGAATGCAATTCAGTTAATTTCCCTGAACCCCCCTATCCTGACCAGATTATTTGTCCACCCGAAGAGGGCATTGAAGGATCCGTTTCTTTGTGGAGCATCATCTCAAAAGTTAGGATTGAGGCCTGCATGTGGGTAAGATACCTGTTCTTATATTTGTCTAAAGTTAATCTGCCTGTATGGTTTGTTGTACCTCTTTGAAATTGAATCCAAACATACCAAGTCAGTAGATAACTAATTCACGAAGTCATTAGCTGCCTATTTCCAAGTAAAACAAATCCTGTAGAGCCTTTTCTACTCATTAATTTCATTCAGAAAGAAGGCATGAAGCCATAGGTACCAAGTAGACAATAGCAGGGTCAAGGAGTATGAATAATGCAACTATTCTACTTAGTAAAATTTTGCCAATATTTATATATTCAATAAACACATATCAGGTGCTTATATATTAGTCTCAAATTGGTAAATGTTATGTCTGTCTCCTAAATTTAAATATATGGTGTTTATTCTTAGGAGACTCGTTTTATTCCCTGAATTGTTATAATACTAAAGTAGAGTGAAACATTTCTTCGTAAACCAAGTGTTACTGTAGTGGAGGCATCAGACTCTATGGTTGTATATTGTGATCTTACTTTCAGCTGTACTGATGTTTTCTTTTTATTATTTGCTTCAGTATATTTTGGGAAGTTTTTAGACTACATGTTCAGTGGCAAAATGTATTTTAACCCATACAAAACACTTTTTTTTTTTTTAATATATTTTATTGATTTTTTTTTTTTTTACAGAGAGGAAGAGAGAGGGATAGAGATAGAAACATCGATGAGAGAGAATCATCTATCAGCTGCCTCTTGCACACTTCCTACTGGGGATGTGCCCACAACCAAGATACATGCCCTTAACTGGAATCGAACTTGGGACCCTTCAGTTTGCAGGCCGAAGCACTATCCACTGAGCCAAACCGGTTTTGGCCAAAACACTCTTTTTATGTGCTTAAATTTATTCAGGTTGTCTTATCATTAAGGAATAGTTCATTTGCTCAAAACTTTCTATTACTGCCCAAACCGGTTTGGCTCATTGGGTAGAGCATCAACCTGTAGATTGAGGGGTCCCAGGTTCAATTTCGGTCAAGGGTATATACCCTGGTTGCAGGCACATCTCCAGGTATGAAGGAGGCAGCTAATCGATATTTCTCTTTCATCGATGATTCTAACTCTCTATCCTTCTCCCTCCCGCTCTGTAAAAAGTCAATAAAGAATATTAAAAAAAAAAAAAAAAGAACTTCCTATTACTATGTCAATTATTTTTAATTCATCATTTGCATTTATTAGTTATATATTACCTACAACTTTTTCACTAACAGTTTCTCATCAAATAAAAATTGTGGAACAGATCACTTAAAAATCTTAACTAAAGAGGAATATGAATACTGTGCCCACAGAAGAGGCAGTTTTCAAAGACATCTATGTGGTAGCAATTATTTTGTATTTTAAAAGAATTATAAGGGAAATGCCATACATTGAACTTGCTGAATATGAAAGACAGGAAAAATTGTCATGTTTCCTGTTACTCTTTCATAAACACTGGAAACAGATTCATTGTACTAGTTGCCTGTGTTTTTTAAATTTGACCACATTAGTCTTTTGATGAAATATTTTTATTAAAATAACAGGAGATACTTGGAACATGCTAGAAAGGGGCTATGCATTTAGACTTTAGTTTTCTATTTTTCTTTTGTTCTTTCAAAAATGATTTATATAGCTGGATTAACACCAATGCCAATAAAGAAAAGCTTCCATCCCAACTGGCAGTGGTAACTGTCTCCTACAAACTCCCACAGTGCACATTGTCTGAAGTGCTCATTTGGCCTGGCTTTTCATTCATACCTTAAATTAGTCAACTTGGTTCGTACAGTGGCTTACTTCCCCAAATAAATTTTAAGCTCCTAAAAAAAATACAAATTGTGCATTAAATTTATTACTCCTACAGCACTCAGCATTAGACTTTGCAAATATTCAAAAATGTGAATAAATACTGATTGCCCTAGCTGGTGTGGCTCAGTTACTGGGTATCATTCTGTGCACCAAAAGGTTGCTGGTTCAATTTCTGCTAGGGCACATGCCCTGGTTGAGGGCTCAATCTCCAGTGTGGAGTGTCCAAGAGGCAGCTGATTGATGTTCCACTCTCACATCAATGTTTCTCTAGCTTTCCCTTCCTCTCTAAAAATTAATGAAAAAAATATTTTTTAAAATAATAAATAAATACTGACTATTTGGTTGAATGTTTGCTTTTCATATTTCCTTTTTTGACAACTGTCTTGGGTCATGTGAAAAATGTAGCACATATCAAGTTGTCTAAATTTTTTCCATTGTTCTTAATGTTTATAAGGACAGTCCTTTCAACAAAGAGTGCTGGGAAAACTGAATATCCACATGCAAAAGAATGAAGTTGGACCGTTACCTTACACCATATACAAAAATTAACTCAAAATGCATCATATACATAAATTTAAGAGCTAAAATTATAAAAACATAAAAACTCTTTGAAGAAAATATAGAGAAAAATCTACATGGTTTTGAATTTGGCAATCATTTCTTTTTTAAAATGTATATTTTTATTGATTTCAGAGAGGAAGGGAGAAGGAGAGAGAGAAACATCAATTAATGATGAGAGAGAATCACTGATTGCTGCCTCCTGCACCTCCCACACTGGGAATGGAGCTGACAACCGTGAGCTCCGGGTCCCCAGGTCAACATTCAGCCACTGCGACATGCCTGCCAGGATGGCAATCATTTCATAAATGTAACACCAAAAAGTTAGGTAACAAAAGGAAAACTGATTAATTGAACTTTACTAACATTTGAACCTTGTGCATGGAAGTCACTATCAAGAGAGTGAGTCCAGCTGAGGTGGCTTAGTGGTGGAGTGTTGACCCAAGTGTCACCAGTTGATTCCCATTCTGGGCACGTGCCCAGGTTACAGGCTCCACCCCCAGGAGGAGGCATGCAGGAGGCCCAGGATCAATGATTCTCTCTCATCATTGATTTTTCTCTCTCTCCTCACTTCCCCTCTCCGAAATCAATAAAAACACATTTTTTTTTAAGTGTGTGTGTGTGTGTGTGTGTGTGTGTGTGTAATGTGTGGTCAATTAAGTATAAGACTTGTAGCTCTTTATTTCATTTCAATTGATAATTACTTTTTAACTTGAAGGAAACTTGTCATAAATTTGAGTCATGATTGCTTTCAGAACAATTTAACATTTGACTTAAGTTTTAGAAGTATGAGGCTGATGTTGTTGGGACATAAAGTGACATTTAATATCACAGTGTGTCCATGTCCATGGTTTACTCATTCTTGGATGCTTGGAATTTGTGTTAGGCAATCCCTGTAAGCTATAATTATAGACACTGCGTCAGAGTACATACCCTGAAGGAATACCAAGGACAGAGAGTGGTATATACATGTCTAGTATAACATCTAACACTGTGTATGGACAACCCATGGATAAATTAACCCACTTAATTTTTTAAAATCTTAAAGTTTTATGAACACATACAGCACTTACCACGTGCTGACCTTTGTTTTAAATGCTTTTCGGTTATTAGGGTGTTCAATCTCCTTAGTTCTATGAGGTGGGTGCTATTATTATCTCAGTTTTACAAATGGAGAAACTGAGGCAGAGATGTTGAGAAACTGACCTAAGGACCCAGCTAGTCCAGAGTGGCCCTGAGATTGTTCAGAGTCCATGTTTTCTTTGTTTTTTGCTGTTGTTTTTGTTTGGTGTTTTTTTAAAAATATATTTTATTGATTTTTCACAGAGAGGAAGGGAGAGGGATAGAGAGCTAGAAACATCGATGAGAGAGAAACATCAACCAGCTGCCTCCTGCATACCCCCACTGTGGATGTGCCCACAACCAACGTACATGCCCTTGACCGGAATCTAACCTGGGACCTTTCAGTCCGCAGACCGACACTCTACCCACTGAACCAAACTGGTTTCGGCCCATGTTGTTTTTTTTTAATATATTTTATTGATTTTTTTTTACGGAGAGGAAGGTAGAGGGATAGAGAGTTAGAAACATCGATGAGAGAGAGACATTATCAGCTGCCTCCTGCACACCCCCTACTGGGGATGTGCCCTCAACCAACATACATGCCCTTGACCAGAATCGAACCTGGAACCTTTCAGTCTACAGGACGACGCTCTATCCACTGAGCCAAACTGGTTTCGGCTGGAGTCCGTGTTTTTAACCACAGTTTTGCCAACTCTCTCCAGCGACCCCCCCTCGTGGTTTTGTTATTGTTCAGTGTTTCTATGGTAGATATTTGCTAATAAAAATCAAGAAATTCCTAAGTGATGAGAAGAAAAAAAAAGTTTTAGGAGTTCATGTTTTAAATAAAATATGACAGTTAACTTTTCTTTCTACTTTTCATTATGGAAAAAAATTTAAGTGCATAAAATTACATTATTCAATAGACATATTGTTCCCCAACTTCAGCTAATATTAACTCCTGGCTAATGCTGTTTTATATATACCTCTCCTCATTCTGCTCTCAGTTATCTCGAAGCATATCCTACATAACATATCACATTTCATCTATAAATATGTCTACTATAGAACTTTAAAAAATCACCTAAGAGAAATTAGGAATAGTCTCTTCAAATTAGTTGAACAGTTAGTATTCAAAATTTTTTGGTTGTATTTGTTTCTTTTCTTTTCTTTTCAAATTTATTTGTTATTGAAACTGGATTGTGCCAAAACCGGTTTGGCTCAGTAGTAGAGCGTCGGTCTGCGGACTGAAAGGTCCCAGGTTCGATTTCGGTCAACTGGCATGTACATTGGTTGCGGGCGCATCCCCGGTGGGGGGTGTGCAAGAGGCAGCTGATCGATGTTTCTCTCTCATCGATGTTTCTAGCTATCTCTCTCCCTTCCTCTCTGTAAGAAAATCAATAAAATATATTTTTTTTAAGAAAGAAAGAAAGAAAGAAAGAAAGAAAGAAAGAAAGAAAGAAAGAAAGAAAGAAAGAAAGAAAGAAAGAAGGAAAGAAAGAAAGAATAATTTTCCACAGCTCTGATTTTACTGATTGTATTCTAGTTGGTATAATTTAAGTATGTTTCTATATTTCCTGTGAGTTGATAGTTAGATTGAGAGGCTTGAAAAAATTTTCTTTCTGGCAAGAATATACTTCAGAGCCTTGTGTATTTCTGTCACAAGGTACAGTAATGTCTGGTTGTCTTTTGTGTGTATGATATTAGCACTATTACTATATGTTCGTTATTTTATTAGGGGTTATAAAATAAGAGTATCCCAATTGCATCATTTTTTCTTTAGTTATTGACTGAAATAACTTTATAAAGAGAAACTTCTTATCAGCAATTTAATTTTCCTGAAATATCATTCATATAGATAAGACAGGATAAATAATTGATCTTCCTCTTTGTTTCCAGTTTGTAAAATAGTAAGTTGGTCTAACACACTCCAAAGTTGACTGACTTTAACTTTTCCTGTTTAGTAAAGTATGGTTTGTTTTGTTCTTTTATCCTTCTCTCTGTTTTTTTTAACTAACTATAGCCTTATTCTTTCTTCAGAACTCTTGATTCACATATGGGTAATGCAGTTTCACTTGGATCATTGATTCTACACATTGAAATGTAGCACCGTGAACACAAAATCTTTGAATTTGATTATGTATCTTGGGGATTCTTTTCAAGGCATTTGTAGGCAAAGCCATAGGACAAAGCAATCAGAAAGGCCTAAAGTTGCTTCTTAGAACTAGCACATGCATTTTTCATTCACTCTGACTTAGGACAGAGAAGGATGGCTGCAAGTTGAGAATTTTCCTGGAGGCTATATGCCTCCTGCAGTATTACCTATGCTATATTTGAGCCAGGCAAGTTTAAACCAAGTTTCTGATTCTTTTACTTTTGTTTTTTCCCTTAGATGTTGAGTTTGTTGAGGGGGAAAATTCTCTTCAAAAACAAGAATTTACAAAGACTAAAACATGAGTCACTCAATGTCCTAAGAAATATAAACATTTTCCTGTGGTTAAAATTTATCCATCCTAATGTTGTTTTCAAGGGGCTTTCTGACCACAGTTTGTTAAAAATTTTAACTCTGCACTAAAAATTCTGTTGGGATTAAAGCAACATTCTAAATATCGGATTTCCTAGAAAATATTTGTCTAATAGCTAAATCAGTGAATGCTCATTACCAAGTCATTTGAATATTTTAAAAGGGGGAGAAATGACAAAAATAATAGAGTATAAGTAGAGCTCAGGCTAGGTGCCTCAGTTGGTTGGAGCCTTATCCCATACACCAAAAAGTTATTCCAGATGTCATCCCCGTCCGAGGAACTTTATGGGAGACAACTGATGATGTCTCTCTCTCCCTCTCTCTCTCTCTCTCTCTCTCTCTCTCTCTCTCTCTCTCCCCCCCCCCTTCCTCTCTGTCTAAAAATCAATTAAAAAAACATATCCTTGGGTAAGGATTATTAAAAAAATAGAATAGAAGAAGATATGCAAAAGAACTAACATTAATTTCATGTCTATAATACACCAGGATTGTCTGACAGTTTTATGTATAGCATCTTGCCTGGTATTGCCTTGGTTAGTATGGGGGCCAGGATTCCTCCTAATTATGTACTACTATATGCTTTTCTCACCTATGCCTACATCTCAATATACTTTTAGTGATATCGAAAAATACAGACTTGATGTGTTTAGTGTCACTGTGTTGAGAACAGAATCTTATGTGATTGTTTTGGTTTTGACATAGGGTGTTGGTACAGCAATTGGAGAGTTGCCTCCGTATTTCATGGCCAGAGCAGCTCGACTCTCAGGTGCTGAACCAGATGATGAAGAGTATCAGGAATTCGAAGAGATGCTGGAGCATGCAGAGGCTGCGCAAGTAAGAGCAGTGAGCAGGGGGAAGGGGAGATAAATAGAATAATTATCCCCAAAGAGTTTATGATTAAATTGTTAGTTTCTTTGAAGAAGACTGTTAATGTGAAAACAAAATTATACATGGTTTGGGATAGAACATTCAGAAAAGATGAAATATACAAGTGATTATCACCTTGATTTTAGAATAAGGAAATATAGAAAGCGTCAACAAGACAACTCAGACTCAGCTAAAACACCTTGCCACAAAATTAGTTAATTTCATGTCAGAGAGGTTAAGGAGCTGAAACATTCTTTGTCTGTTATGAGTTTATAAGTATAGTAAGTTCTCGTTTAACATAGTTATTAGGTCTGCAACTTTAACAAAATGACAAATAATGAAATAATATCGTTTTTGAGGGAAACGATATTATTCAAGGACCTGCTATTTCACTAAGCAGACTATTGAATAAATAATGGGGACAAAGGCTGAGTCCAAATAGTAAAACTTCCGAATTAATATTTTGAAAGTAAGATCAACATAGTTTACCGTGTTTAGATGAAATTATTTGGAATCTCCCAATAAGAAAGAACAATTCAGAGAAAGTTATTCTTTATCAGTGAGCAAGGAAAGGGCTTTTTACATTTGAATGTAAACCATATATCAACTTGTATTTTAATGTTACAAAATGGGTATTAGTCTTTTCAGGAAAATTCCTAAGAATATCATTAACTGAGTCTCCATCTTAGGGATGACAACAGAAATCAAAATAGACCTAAATAAAAGGACATAAAAGAAAGATATTTGAAAAACTGTATATAAAATACATTGCTCTCCCCAGATTTTTTTTTTTAATATATTTTATTGATTTTATACAGAGAGTAAGGGAGAGAGATAGAGAGTTAGAAACATCGATGAGAGAGAGTCATCAATCAGCTGCCTCTTGCACGCCCCCTACTGGGGATATGCCCGCAACCAAGGTACATGCCCTTGACCGGAATCGAACCTGGGACCTTTCAGTCCTCAGGCTGACACTCTATCCACTGAGCCAAACCGGTCCCGGCTCTCCCCAGATTTGTTCATTAATCTCTGAAGTTGTTTGAAAAATTGTTTTGTTGTCATGTAATTTTAAGTATGTATGTCCACATAAGTGCACACACATTTTTTTGAGGAGGAATGAGTTCCTATTTTCTTCTCAGTGGAATCTGAGATCCAAGAAACCATTGCCATGAGGGATGGAAACCTATTTTAATGGCAGGTGGACTTTAGTAAAAAAGTTTTAAGTGGAAAATCAACCAAGAAGAGTTATAGTTTTTAAGTGAAAACAAATGTTCAAATATGACTATAGAATCTATGTATATATAAAAGCCTAAGTGACCAGGTAACCGTTCGCTATGATGCGCACTGACCACCAGAAGGGCAAACGCTCAATGCAGGAGCACCAGACACAGGGCTCACAGCTGGCGGGCACCAGTGACCCAAGCCTCTCCCGATCAGTACTGACTGGGCGCGAGCCCAGGGCAGATGCCGCAGGACCGGGGTGAGCGGGAGTGACAGGCAGGTCCAACAGGTGGCGTTGGACTGCCAGTTTCAACCCAGTTCTCACAAGCCACGCCAAGAGACCCCATCAGTGCACGAGTCCTCTGGTATCCAAATATTAATATAAAGCAAATTAATCAGAGCTGTGAACCTCTGCTCTGTGTGGTAAAGTGTCCTGGTATCTGCTTTACCTTATCTGTCAAAACATATTCTGCCTCTCTTACATCATGATGCTTCTAATAAGGCTAAAAATTATTTCTAATCCAGATAACTTTTAAGTGTTTTTAATGCTTTTTAAATTCCAGATGTGACCTGTGTTTACTCTGAAGTAGCATGAAAAATGTACCTTTTTAATTTTATAGAAAACTACAAGTCTAGAAGATGTTACCTCCTTATTTTTACGTGCTTAGAAGTACAGTTAGAACCAGAACTCGGAAGCTTTCCTCAAAGCCTGGTGATCTTTGGTTTATCTGTAAGGATAAGGCACATAAAAGCTGAATGGAAGCTGTGTAGGGGCGAGGAGTAGGAGGGTCAGGCGTCCTTATTTATTAAAACCTCCATGTATTAGTTCCTGTAGATCTTTCCTTTGGGTATTCTTGCGGTTGACATTCTGAAGTGAGGCTGAGGAATGGGAGTTAGAGTTCTCTATTTACAGGACTAAGTCAGTTTTCACTTACCCTGCTTTGTGATCATTCTGTGGATGCCTGCACACACGTCCTGAGCCAGGACTTTTGGTTCACTTTGTCTAGAGACTATACCTTATCTCTAGACAGTACTTGATGTTTTCCATGGGGCTAGAGAGGAATTTGGCTGTGCTAAGTAGGAGTGGAACCTAGGAGTCTGGTTTTTATACAGTCTCCTTGTTTTCAGCCTTATCCCAGTCTCTTCTGCAATTCTGCTGAAGATCTTTTTGGAGTTCAATAGTACAAATCACTTTTCTTCTCTTCCATATCTTGCACTGCAGGTTCTCACATATAATTAATGTTAGTTTCATCAAAGAGACAGTTCATGTTTCTATTTTCTGTATTTCGAGGAAAAATAGTAGAGGAGGGAACTGTTGCCAGTTTTCCATATTAAAAATTATCTCAGAGAATAATGTTTTAATTCTTTATTCAAAATAGAGTTCCTTGCCGTAGCTTGACAAAATAAACTTTTTGCGCTTGCTAACATTGTGGACTATTACTATATCCAAAAAGATCTATTATACTTCATATGTTTTGATACACTGCCATGATAAGTTGTTTTGTTTTGTTTTTAAGGTTTTCACAATACAAATATATATATATATAAAAGGCCAATATGCAGTGTCCCCACGGGAGTTTGACCAGGAGACAGGCGTTCTATTGCTCGCTATAATATATGCTGACCACCAGGGGGTGGCATGGAATGAAGGAAGGCCCCAATCGGCCCTGATCGCTGGCCAGGTCTAGGGACTCTACTCATGCACTTATTTCGTGCACTGGACCTCTAGTAAATGTATAACAATTTAAGAGAATTTTTTGTAATTTTCTTTTTAAATCAGGTATCGTTAAAAAAAATGTTTTAATCTTAGGTTCTTTGTTTCTGTTTTATTTCCAGATTTTCATCTTTTAATTTACAAGTATTTGTAGTAATGAGTTTGAAGCATTCTAGAAGTATAAAAAGTTAAAAGTGAAAACCCACACACCTAATCCCCAAAGTAGGATAATGATTCTCTAATTCTAAGCTGTTTTCTTTGCATTTATAACTTTTTGAAATAAAAACTAGGATCATACTATACATAGTAGGCTCAAGTTTCCCCTCCACATATAGACATTTGATATTGATTTTTAAGATGTGCTCTTATTATGAAGTTACACAGCTCATTGTAGACAACTGTAAATATATCTCCTTAAAATTAATCGCTCCATTCTTCAGTCTTTTTCTCTATAAATATTTATAACAGTGAGTCATATTCTATTTATTTTTCTGTGACTTGTTTTAAATATAAAGTCATACTGTGAACATTTTTCAGTGTCATCAAATATTTTCTACATCTTTGCTTTTTATTACAAAGTATGTTTCTTGTATAAAATGTTGAAAATACAGATAAACAAAAAAAAAAGAAAAAACTTTAACTTGTTCATTTATCAATTTTTTATATTTAGTATATTTTTCATTTTCTTGACATTTTTAAGAAAATCTCTGTTGTCATATGCTATCAACATTTTCTTCATGTTGTTTATTGTGCTTTGTTTTCTTTTCAGAATAGAAAATTTTACATTTTTAATATCAATATCTTAGACATTTTCTTTTAGAGTAATCTCTAAAATTATCTTCCTGAACCCTGACAATTATATAGTAAATATTTAGTTCTATTTTCTTTATTTTACTAGAGGTCCAGTGCACAAATTTGTGCATGGGTGGGGTCCGGCTAGCCCTGAACGGAACCGGGCTGGCGGGGGTGAGGTGACACAAGAGGCTGGCCGGCCAGCTTCGCTCCCGATCAGGGTGGGGGGGCCAATCAGGGGCGGTTGGCCGTCGCAGTACACATGATAATGACCGCTCATTCCATTCTGAGTGCTTGGCTTTTATATATATAGATTGCTAAATCTTTAATCTATTACAATATTTTACCTATCATATAATGTAGGGACCTAACTTTCTCTTTTTCAATTAATTAGCTATTTGTATATTCCATCATTGTTTTCCCAGTGATTTTATTTAGTTTTGACTTACATTTTGTTATAAATTGCATATTATATCTTTATAAATAGTTATTGGTAGTATTTTTAAAGCTATTAGGTTTTTATTTGTAAGCTATAATTTTACTGACATCTTTTTTCAAAATACATTTTTATTCATTTCAGAGAAGAAGGGAAAGGGAGAGAGAGATAGAAATATCAACGAGGAGAGAGAATCACTGATTGGCTGTGTCCTCCACACCCCACACTGGTGTTCAAACCCACAACCTGGTATGTGCCCTGACTCTAGGAATTGAACCGTGACCTCCTGGCTCATAGATTGGTGCTCAACCACTGAGCCATGCTGGCCAGGCTTACTGACATCTTTTTAGTTATACATTATTGATTGTGATTTAAAAGTTCTTACAGTAATCAGTTTTCACAAAGACCCAAAGTTAATCTAACTTTGGTGTTGGAATTTCCTTATAAATACATGTATGACATGTATCTATTGCTCCCTCCCCCATTTGATGGGAGAAATAAAATATAGAGAAGGTGGCAGTAACTGAAACAGCAAAATAAGTAAAAAGATTAATTATGAATGGGTACTTGAATTTTAAGATCGCCTGAGACTTAGGTAGAAAGTGTGTTTTTTTATTCCTTTGGTAGAATAAGTTTATCAGCAGGAAGAGTGAAGAAAAAAAAATATTTGGCTCTCATTGCTTTCCCATGTGCTCTCCAACTAGGATAAAGGGTGTATGCTTTTACTAGGAAGTTGTTACTAGGTAACAATTTTAAAGCTGAGTATTTGCTTAAATTCCAGTGTTGATTGATAGTTGGATTTTA